GAGAAACGTCGGGAGAACTAGTACACCAACCACCAAGATGATTGCTAGGACTCACTTTATTAAAGTTGAACATGCTTTTTATAACCACTCTAATGAGCATCATGAATATTCCAAGYAGACACTTCTAATTGGTCACTTTAAAAACAAATCCTGATAAGGGATGTATACTGCAACCTTTTGGGGGGTATTACATCAGCTAGGGGGGTCCRAACAAAAAKGGGGCAGGAGATTAGCCCATCTGCCTGTTGTAACACCCGTTTTCGCTGCAGCTGGCTGATAACCCCAAAGTCRGGCAGCCCTACGCYTGCCACGAGCGTCACACAGCTATGTTTAATATAGATAATTACCACATCCCCGCTTGCAGGGTGCCGAGGTACAGCAAAAGAGARTGTTCRCAGTGGGACTCTCTCRGACAAAAGCTTTCTCTGCAGTACTTGCTTGTTAGCCTGCACTCTGACTCAGTGCAAAATGCAAGTTCTCRCACAKAAATGCTCCATCTCACTATGAGGCTTTCCTGAAATGCCAGCCCTGTCCCCGCTTGCAGGGTGCCGAGTGAGAGAGACTAATCTGATTTTTATTTATGCCTCAACATGTRTTATGTGCTGGGAGCTCTGTCCCTCAGGAGGTTTTGCCTGGCAGCCAGTCATGGCACAGACAGYTTCCCCTACTGCTCTGCAAGCGTCCTGCACACCCTTGCTGGTGGGGCAGATGCCCAGATGCCCGGGAAAACAGCATGTGGAAAAAACGCGCAGGAAATCACGTTATAGGAGGGCGAAGCATATAAAAGCAGCTAACTGCGACACAACCATTTTCCTTTTGGGGTTCTTGGAGGGTGCAGTGGCCCGCCTGGAAGGTCACCTTGGCTATCCTTCCCCCGCTCTGCTTTTCCTTTTGTTTCCTTTCGTTCGTGCAGTCCGGTTTCTTCCCTGTCCGCACCTGTCCTGTCTCAGTGCCCGGTTTTGCCGCGTCCCCGAGGCAGCTCGTCGGTGCGATAACCGTGTGTTTGCAACCTCCCCAAAGGAGCTGCCGCCACCGCCCGGAGCTGCCACCGCCTAGTCGCTGCCGTGTGTCTGGCAGCGCCCGCAGCAGCCAGCCAGCCCGCAGCCGGTATTTGCCGACGGCAGAGCCAGGCTGCTCACCGCCGTCACTCGCAATCGCTGCATCTATCCCAYGAGTGTGCCYRTAGCCACRGCACCGTGTTCTCTGCCGATGGGAGGAACACGCAGCGGCTGCTGTTTAGAAATCGCGCCCAGCCCGCCTCGAGAGCCACGCAGGCTCCTCGCGGTTCTCAGCACAGATGCTCCTTTTGCCGAGCTGACGCCCATGGGGCGCCTGGGGTACAGCAGTAACAATCTGTTTGCTATTCTGTCTCTCTCAGTTTCTTTTTTTCCCCTCTAGTTCCCTTTTCTATCCCCCTTGGTAAGAAGTGGTAGAAACACTACTCTGTCAATTAACAGTTCTCAGATATAATATTGCCACATTTGYGCTTTATTTTTTGTCCAAGAAATCTATTAAAAGAATCRTYCCCGACCTCCTCTTTTGAAGCGGGATGGGACAAGCCTGCACTCTGGCTCAAACAGTGCAAAAAGAGAGGTCTYGCACAGAAATGCCCCAACTCACTAGAAGGCTTTCCCGAAACGCCATCCGTTTTTTTTGTTTTTTTTTTCTGCTTTAAAAGTGCCGAGAAAACGCAAAAGAGATTGCAGTGAGAATCTCTCGGAGCAAAGCTTTCTCTGCAGTAGTTCTTTGTTASACTGCACTCCAGCTSAAACAGTGCAAAATGAGAGT